TTTAATTAAGATTAAATTAGATTAAATTGATAGATTAACATATTTGACATCCAACAGGCCGAAGCAGCGCGGTGCTAGTGCATTACCTCTCCAATAAACACGTGTTCGAATCCTGAAGTGTCCGCTCTCCCACGTGCACGTGAATAGTGGACGAACCACAGTTGCGCCATCCAATAGCGGAATGTTATAGGATCTTTCGCAAATGGATGTTCTGAACAGATGTTCCTTAGAGCATAAAAAGTCAGTATTGTGAGAATTGGCACATACTTTTCTTTCTCAAAAATTCGTATAGAATTTTCCATGGTTTTGATTGAAGGACAGTGGTTAAAAATGCGGATGTTTCCCTTTTTTCCTAAAATTGAGATTAACTGCTTTTTGAAGAGCTATGATACTTTTACGACTGACGATAACTATTTTAAGGATTTTCAATTCTATTTTTTCATCGATAGAGTAGGCAGTAAGTCGATAAAAAAGGCCCCAACAAACGTAAACTATGCAACTACAAATTTGTTCAAAGGGAATTATTTTTCAATGGCTAGAACCCTGAACCTACCTCTGAAACAGGAACTCTAGGCTCAGAGATGCCAGCCTCTCTAACGAAATTATTCGATAAAGCGATAAACTGCTCGTAGCTGGTCTTTCTCAGAACCGATGGATCCACTTTTGTGAAAAAGCTGAAATTCTTTGAGGTATGAGATAATTTATGTCAATTAGTGCAACTCACTCTCGTCTAGCATTATCCTCATCGTTTCTGGTGGTAGTATGTGCTTGATAGCTGATGTAGATCTGCCCAGGCAGAGCTCTATTCTCATCAGCATCTCGCAATTTTTTCGAAATCTCTACTAACTCGCTGTTTTGAACATTAAAAGCTAAAACAATGTATCTCATGGTTATTTTCTTCTTTATTTTTGAATTTATGGTTACTTATTTGAATACTCACGTGGTATACTCTCAGCAGCATATGCAAGACATACATTCAGTGCCAACAGCCAACAGAGGAACATGTCCTGGAGGACAGCGAAATGTTTATTTAACGACGATGCCGAAGAAATTTGTGGCAAACAAAACGAAACAAAGATGGGAATCAATCTTGCACCGAGTACGCCATATCGATTAAGGCTAGAAGAAAGGCGACACTTTTAAATTGACTAGTAACTTTTTGATGAGAACTCTATAAATAGACAAGGTTTTAAACTTATTTAAGCGTAGAGATGCGCTCAATGAAAGATGTGCGCGGCATTAATAGAATAAGACCAAAGAATATAAAGAACATCAGTTTTGGAGAATAAAACAAGTCTTATTATTAGTCAAGTTTTATTTTAG